CCTGCCTCCTCCCAGATAAAGGCCGAGGCACAAAAACCAACCCCTGCCTACTCCTGCTGTGGGGCCCTGGGCACTCTGTGACTCAGTTTCCCCCGTCACAGGAACAGAGTGTTGCCCACGACTCCCTAGTTTCTGTGAGGGGCTTCATGGTACAGGGCGTGACCATGCCCCCATCGGAGACCCCTCCAACTCTTGCCCCAGCCAGGAGTAGCCCCCCTGTCCCCAGCCCAAGCTGGGCCCGCCCTGGGAAGGCCCCTCCCCTCTCTGGCCTCAACGCCCTACTCTGAAAAGGGGTCTGGGGGTAGCTCAGGTGCTGTCTGTGGGAAGAGCCAAGCCAGTTCCTGTGCATCAGGGGCGGGGCTGGAGGAGGAGGCCTGGGCAGGGCAGACGGGCCTGTAGGGGTGAGGGGGCCCTGCCATGGAAGTGACTGGGGTCTGCTCTGCGTGTCAGTCCCCCACTCCCTGCTGGGCAACCCAGCTATGACATTTTCCCAGGCCCGGACCGGGACCCCACAGCCTACACAGGTCGGGGTGGGGGTTGGTCTTTAGGCCTGGCCGGGCTGTCCTCATCACTCGGGGCCAGGGCTGGGCTCCCTCTCTGGGCCCCAGGGAACAGGGCGGCCCCCTGTTCTGAGATGCCCAGAAAACCCCCCAAGAGACATTGTGCCCTCTTCCCGAGTTCCTCCCTGTCCCTCCCCTGCTCAGCCAGTCCGGGTAGGGCAGGAGGTACCTGGTGTGTGCCCGCTGGCAGTGGCTCCACCACTCACGAGACCTAATTTAATCCTTCCACCCCGGGCAGGGCAGGGGCAGCCCCTGGGGTCCCACAAGTAAAAAACCAGTCAGGTTCAGGCAGGTCTGTCTCCCTGGACCAGTGGACCAGCTACCAACTCTGGACCGGGTGCTAGCCCCCTTGACAGGTGAGAAGACTGAGTCCTGGAGTGGCCTTGAGCCCTGGTGTCATTCATTCATTCAACAAATCCTCAGCAGGTTCCTGCTGTGTGCCAGGTACTGTTCTAGGCGCTGAGAATGGTGTGGCAGAAAGATGGAGGAGCCCGGACCTCCGGAGGATCCATCACAGAGAGGAAGCCCAAACAAGCGTCTAAACATAGGTGAGTTCCGAGTGTTGGAAATAAACCAGGGTGGCCGTGTGCTCAAGCCTGTCATCCCAGCACTTTGGGACGCCAAGGCAGGAGGATTGCTTGAGGCCAGGAGTTCAACACCAGCCTGGGCAACATGGCAAAACCCTGTTTCTACAAAAAAAAAATTTTAATTAGCTAGGCGTGGCCGGGCGCGGTGGCTCACAGCTGTAATCCCAGCACTTTGGGAGGTCGAGGTGGGCGGATCACAAGGTTGGGAGATCGAGACCATCCTGGCTAACATGGTGAAACCCCGTCTCTAGTAGAAATAGAAAAAAAAAATTAGCCGGGTGTGGCAGCGGGCACCTGTAGTCCCAGCTACTCGGGAGGCTGAGGCAGGAGAATGGCGTGAACCTGGGAGGCGGAGCTTGCAGTGAGCTGAGATTGTGCCACTGCACTCCAGCCTGGGCGACAGAGCGAGACTCCGTCTCAAAAAAAGAAAAAAGAAAAAAAAAAAAGCTGGGCATTGTGGTGTGGGCCGGGGGTCCCAGCTACTTGGGAGGCTGAAGTGGGAGGATCACTTGAGCCCAGGAGATCAAGGCTGCAGGGAGCCATAATCGCACCACTGCACTCCGGTCTGGGCAACAAAGTGAGACCCTGCCTCTAAAAAGAAATAAATAAATCAGGGTGGGGGCAGGGAGCCTCTCTGAAGAGGGCACAGTTAAGCAGAGATAGCAGGATGCCTGCCGTGTGGAGCGCAGGGGTCCCAGCAGCAGGACCAGCAAATGCAAATGGCTGTGGCCAAGGCCGGGAAGCCGGAGCGGAGGGGGCGAGGATGACAGGGGGTGACGCTGGAGGAACTCCTGGGAAGCAGCCCAAGCCTGTCCTGGTTTCCCAAAGGGTGAACAGCTGCCCCCACCCTCCCACAGACCAGTGCCCTGTAATGGCTGGGCTGGCCCCCTGTGCCCGGCCTGGAGGGGCCACTCAAGTCCAAGTCCGAATTCCAAGCATCCCAGTGGAGACCCTGCTTGGCCCAGCCTTGCCTCCCTCCTTGTCCCTCCTGCTGCAGCCACACGGGGCCAGTGTCAGCTCCCCACCCTAGAGCTCACCAGAAGGACCACACTGGTCCCTGAGCCCAGAACACTCCTCAAGCCCTTGCTCCCCAGACCTTGCTGCAGTATTGAGACCAGCACAGATACAGGGGCTGCTGGGAGTGCGGGTCAGGGAACAGTTCCTCCCCTTTTCTGCGGCCCCACCCACCCCCATATCTATTCAGGAAGACTGGCTGTTCCTGGCCACGTCTGCAGAGAGAAAGCCACTGATGTGCACGGAGCGCTTGCCACGTGTACATGCACGAGACGATGTCCCGGAGCCTCTGGCAGGTGTGGGTGACGTCCAGCCAGGCCACTGGTGAGCTGCGTGCCTCTGCCCTCCCTGAAAGTTGTAGGGCGTCATCTAGGGTAGGTGGGGCCCGGGCTGAAACCTTTCCACATTGGGGTTGGGGCAGCCTCTGCAGGAATCAGGTGGCGGCGCAGCCAGCCCCACCTGTGCCCGAGTGGCTGCTCCAGGGTCCCACGCCCATCCTCACAGCCTCCTGCACCACGGACATCACAGGGCCTGGCCAACGCCCATGGCCCCAGGGCTGCATTCCTGCCTGTCTCACCATGATGTCACCGGGGTCTGCAGGTGCTGGGCCCCTGGGGGACAGCAAGGACATCCCACAGCGCTGGCTTAGTGCCTGGGGGACCTGACCACTTGTTGCTGGGGCTCTGATTGCTGAGCACCAACCGTGTACCCAGCCTGGAGCCCACCTGGTACCCCAAGGCTGCTTCTGAGGTTCCCAGACGCAGGGGGCTGATGGTGCGGGCAGAAGCTTCCTGGCCCTGAGGTGGGACACCCCAGGGTGTGAGTCCACAGCAGGACCGAGCCCCAGGTGCCCACGCCCCTGACTTGCTGGACAACACTCCCTTCCTGTTCCGGTCTCAAAAATGTTACGCAGCCACACGCCCCAGCCCCACCTCGCTTGCTGTGTGACGTGAGGCCATAGCCCTCTCCCAGCCTCATTTTCCCTACCTGGAGAACGGAGCTATTCCGGGTTCCCGGCTGCCCCTCACCGCTAAGTGGCTCTCTGCCTCCCCCTGGTGGTGAAGAGGCCACACTGCCGTGGGTCCGGCCTTGGGACGCGAGCAGGGGACTGAGGTCCCAGGGGGACCCACAGTCTCAGCTCCAGGACCCGGTCCAGACCGCCCTCCACAGTGTCATGCTCCTAACACAGCAGAGGCCCTGGGGCTTCTGCTCAGAACCACTCGAGGCGCCTGGTGCCGGAGGAACGAGGCCACGTCGCTGCACCTGGAGAGTCGCCGCCAGCCCAGGCCCTGACGGAGCCCCTCTCCCTCCATCACCCGCCCCGCCCCACCACACATCTTCAAGCTCACAGATCATTGCCTGTGCTGTTCCTTCAACAGGGCACACCCTGCCCATCCGCCGAGGGACGCCTACTCCTCGATACCCAGGTGAGACCCCCCTGCAGAAGTCTCCTGGGGGCTCCAGGGTCCCCCTGCTGCCGGCCACCGCCTCCCGGTCCTCGGAAGGCACAGGCGTTTCCACCAACACACTCGATCCCAGTGGCCTGACGCCAAGAGAGGCCTCGGGGCCAGGCAGAGCACGGGCCCCACTCCCCACTCACTGCTGTGTGCAGGTGACCCATGGCCTCACCTGGGGGAGCCCCTGTCCCTCCATGGGGGCCCTGAGTAGCCGGCGGGAGCAGGGGGTACAGAAGGAGGCAGCAGGGGTCTCGCCATCAGCAGAGGGCAAGAGAGCACCTCTGTGCTCCCCTACCCTCATCCCTGCCCCAGGCACACTGGTGGGCCCTTCCAGTCCTCACGTGGCCCCCAGGCAGCCCATATCCACCAAAGGCTCAGAGAGGGCAGTGCCCTAGCCCGAGGCCAAACAGCTGCCAGGAGCAGAGCTGTGACTGCAGAGACGGTGCTCCATCCGTGCCCCCCAGCCCACCCTCCCTTCCACACCCCACACCCAGCTCACGTTCCAGGAGACCTGAGACCCTCAAAGGCACAGACAGTGAAGGCCACGGAACGCCAGAGGCCTGCCCAGCACAAGCTCCCCAGGGCCCATGTGCACACGGCAGGGGCTCCAGGCTCTGAACCTGCTCTGGCCCTGCTGGGACCCGTGGGGGTCTCGACCCCACCAGCCACCAGGTAGAGAGCACTGGTGCTTTGCCACGGCTGAGGGTTCCCTAGGGCCGCTGCAGAGGCTCCCACAGCAGCTGAAATAGCGCAGCGACAAGCAGCTGAAGCCGGCCCCTCCCCGACAGATGGGGAGACTGAGGCTTGCAGGGAAGCTGCACTCCTGACTCAAGGCTCCTCCCATGACATCCACTCAGTGGGAGTCAGAAAGGATGGGGTGCACCACGTCCTGCCCCGGCCACCAGGAAGTCTCCCTGACCAGGGGCCACCACTCATAATCCCCCATCCCAGGCCCCAGTCCTGGGAGACTGAGGTCACACCTCTCAGGCCACGGATACGTGGCGACCCCAGCACCCAAGAGTTCCCAGGCTCCAGTCTGCACTGACGCCTCCTCTGAGGCTCCCACCAGCTCATCTGTGCCAGGAAACTGTGAGAGGGTCCACCTTCGAGGGCCAGGCCCCGAGACAGTCAGCTCCTGCCCGAGGCCACAGAGCACGTCCGTGCTGCAGGCAGAACTGGGAGGCAGCCGAGACCCCGGGCAGGTGCGGGACCGCCCAGGGGCACCGAGGCAAACACAAGGACGCGCAGGAGGCCGGGGCCGTGTGGTCCGTTTCTTTATTGAGGCCACAGACGGTAGCGCAGGTCCCTGCTGTCCACATGCCCCTTGTAGGGACAGGAGGCCCTTCCTGAGTCCAAGTCCGAATGCCGGGTCCGGGCCAAGCCCACGGCCCCACTGGCCGCTACTGGGAGGTGCTGCTTTTGCTTTTGCTTTTTGGTGACCAGATCTTGGATAAGCGGAACTTGGACTTCTTCCTCTGGAGGCCTAGGGCACAGGTGGACAGTGAGGTCATGCTCATCGCCACATGGCCGCAGCCCACACAAATCCCCCTGCCAGAAACATCCTTCCCTTCCACTGGCCACAGTCCGCCCTGGGCCTCCGAGCCCGCAGGAAGCCCTGTGCCCTCCCATGTGAGAACCCGTCCCGACTGGGCGCCCTGAGGGCTGGTCCCCACCATGACCACATGGTCACCAGCCGCCCCTGGCTCTCTTAGTGGCGGGAAGGAGCTCTCACCCTCAGGGTGAACCTGCCTGTCCTGTCACCAAGGCTGAGGGGGGCCCCAACACCTGCCCCCCACCCCAAGCTGGAGGCCCGGCCCACCCAGCCAGCCAGCCCAGCCCCCAACATCCCCGGCCCAGTCACCCAGCTTCTCAATCATGTCCCGCAGCATCTGATCCTCCTCTTGTTCCCTGAAACGGGACCAGGGTGGCCGTGAGTGACAACAGCAACAGCAACGTGCTCTGGAGGGGCCACCGGACAGTCTCCAGCCAGCCTCACCCCAGTGAGTCTCCAGCAGCCGTACCCCAGCCCCGAGCTCCACCTGGACCCATGCCACCTGCCCCTTCCTGCTGACAGGCCTCACGTCGAGACCTTGCTCCCAACAATGCCAGGTCCCTGTCCTCTCCAGGGCCAGCCCCTCAACAGTGACCTGGACAGAAGGCCCAGGCCGACCACACCAGGGACCTGGACAGGAGGGCCTGGGTCAACCACACAGGTGACTTGGTACAGGAGGGCCCTGGGACAACCACACCAGTGACCTGGACAGGAGGCCTCGGCCAACCACATCAGTGACCTGGACAGGAGGCCCGGGCCAACCACACAAGTGACTTGGTACAGGAGGCCCGGGCCGATCACACAGGTGACCTGGACAGGAGGCCTCGGCCGACCACACAGGTGACCTGGACAGGAGGCCTGGGCCAACCCATGCCAAGGCCCCTTCACGCTCCCAGAAGGTCTCACAGAGGTGGACTTCAGCTGCCGACCCTGCGTGCCATGTGCTGGACCCCTCATGAGATGAGATAGGAAAGCTGTCGGGGATGGTCACACAGTCCGTGCAGGAGCCAGGGGACGCATGTGGCCTTGGAAGTTCAAGTTAAAAACTAAGGCTTTGGCCGGGCTCAGTGGCGCACGCCTGTAATCCCAGCACTTTGGGAGACTGAGGCAGGTGGATCACAAGGTCAGGAGATCGAGACCATCCTGGCTAACACAGTGAAACCCCGTCTCTACTAAAAATACAAAAAAATTAGCTGGGCGTGGTGGCGGGCGCTTGTAGTCCCAGCTACTCGAGAGGCTGTGGCAGGAGAATGGCGTGAACCTGGGAGGCAGAGCTTGCAGTTAGCTGAGATTGCGCCCTGCGCTCCAGCCTGGGCAAAAGAGCGAGACTCCTCTCAAAAAAAAAAAAAAAAACCTAAGACTTTATGGCCAGTTACAGTGGCTCACGCCTGTAATTCCAGCACTTTGGGAGGCCAAGGCAGGCAGATCACCTGAGGTCAGGAGTTCGAGACCAGCCTGGCCAACACGGTGAAAACCATACAAAAAATTAACCAGGCATGGTGGTGCGAGCCTATAACCTCAGCTACTCGGGAGGCGGAGGCAGGAGAATCGCTTGAACTCGGCAGATGGAGGTTGCACTGAGCCGAGATCACACCACTACACTCCAGCCTGGGCAACAGGAGCAAAACTCCGTCTCAAAAAACCAAAAACAAAAAAAATTAGCCGGGCATGGTGGTGTGGGCCTGTAATCCCAGCTACTTGAGAAGCCGAGGCAAGAGAATCATTCGAACCTGGAAGGTGGAGGTTGCAGTAAGTCAAGATCGTACCACTACACTCCAGCCTGGGAGACAGAGCAAGAGTCCACGTCAAAAAAAAAAAAAAGGACTTTGAAAAGTTCCCAATGGCCACATGTGGCCCCTGGCTGCTGTACCAGTCAGCACAGATGATAACCGCCTGGACAGAAAGTTCTACAGGGCCGGCTGACCCTGAGGGCTGGGAGCATGGACCAGGTGACCAGTCCTGGCCTGGCTGGGAGGGGACCCTGGCGCCTGACCCTCACCGGAGCCGGTCCTCGTCCAGTGAGTCCACGATATCACTGCGGTCATTCACGGTGCTCACGTACCGCTCCAGAAGCTCCTGCTCCCGCTGCCGCTCCTGTGGGGACTTCAGAGCCTCTGCGGGGACGGCTCTGTCAGCAGGAGCCCCCCCGCCCCGCTGCCACTGCCATGACCCCACAGGACACAATGGCCCTGCCACCCAAGCGCCAGGCTGCTCTTTTGGAGGAGGAAGGTGTGGTCTTGGGGACACCTGGAGCAGAATGAATGAGTGAATGAATGAGTGAATGAGTGAATGAATGAATGAGTGTATGAGTGAATGAGTGAATGAGTGAATGAGTGAATGAATGAGTGAGTGA